GTGTCTGTGACAATTGAGAGTCCCTGCTTGAGCTTGAATAAACGACCCTCGTGTGCTTACATCGGGAACGGCCTCCTGGTGGTCTTTGGGACTTCACAATCTGGGCACAACAGAACCACTGAGCTAAATCCCTGGCCCCCAAATTTTTTTTTTTTCGGTACCGGGGATCGAACTCAGGTCCTTGCGCTTGGGCAGCAGGAGGTGAAACCACTGAGCTAAATCCCTGGCCCTTCCCCAGCTCTTTTTCACTTTTATTTTGAGACAGGGTCTCGCTAAGTTACTCAGGCTGGGATCAAACTTGAGATCCTCCTGCCACAGCCTTTGGAGCAGCTGGGATTCTATGTGTGAGCAGCCATACATACTTTCCTCCCCTTTCCCCTATTTATTATGCCTCTTGTCAGTTCATTCCAGGGAAACTTCAGAGGAGAGAAGGGAAATTTGCCTTTACTTAACACTTCAGGAGGCAGAGCTGGTCCCTATGGTCCCTGTAGCCCCAGGTAGAAGGTGTGAGGCGGGGGGTCCTGAGTGTGGATGTGGCTTATTTCTAATGGATCCAGCCAGGGTGGGAGGCAACTCATCTACAATTTCTATGACCTGTGGGTTTGCACCTGGACTCTTGGCCCAGCCCCCACAATACTGTTGGTTTCCTGCAGTGGTTCTGAGAACCCATCTGGGACTCATGGACTAGCCTTTAAAGTGATCATTTGCATTGTGTATTGACAGAAATTGCTTGAATATTCAACGTGGTAAATTTATTTGATTAAGAGAGAATTCTTTTTAAAAATTCACTAAATGGTTAACCTTTGAAATGTGCCCAAAGGAGATGTTCTGAATATGTGAAGCTATTGAATAATCTTGGTTATGGAAGTGTATGTTTGACATGTGTGGATGTGTGAGAGGTCAAGGTAGCTGTTGTTCCCTAAATGGTGCAGTCACCATTTAGCCACCCGGGGATGTCAGACTCCACTCTTTGCTTCATCAACACGCGCAGATTCTGTAAACTCGAGCTACTGGTGTCTGCCTTGCGGTGGGCTATTTCTGCTGCCATTTTCTCTTGAGACACTTTGTTGCCAGCCACTTAGTTTCATATGCTCAGGTTCCTTTGCTCATTTCTAAACAAATCAAAGCAGTCATTTATTTTGGTAAAAAGGAAAAAGGATTTAGTCACAGGTAGCTCTGAGGAGATGGAGGGGTCTCATTACCCAAATCACCGCTTACCGTGTGCAGGTGTGTTAGGGTCTTTTATAGCAAGGAACAGTGAGGGGAGGGATATAAGGAGGCAAGAGACATATTCAGGCTTGCTGTATCCCTCCCTGGACCCAGACCTCTCCACCCTTTCCCTGTGGAAACTGGCAGGGACTTCGAGCTCCTGGTACAGCATTCGCACATTCTGGTTACTCCTTTGGGCAGAGGAAGGGTGGGGGTTGGGGGTCTATGCCCTTGGCCTGAGTGGGTTTGGAGAACCTCTTGTCTTGAAAGGAAAAAAAAATAAACTTTTAAAGTTGCATTTTGTGGTGCCAGTTACAAGTTGAGGTCCACCCTGTATTGTTATAGCCCTGGGAATGCATGATAGCTCCAGAACAAAAGCGTTTTATTGCCTTCCTTCCCTGTTTCTCCAGCTAAGTCAGGCCCTTGAGGATGGGGAGGCAAGCTTGTGCAAGTGGGATTTTGCTATTCATGTCTGAGTAAGACTCTGCTGAATCCAGTAGTCAACAGAACTTGGGGCCTACTCAACCTTCTGGGGGGCTGTGGTGTGAAAGTGTGCCCCTAACCTTCCTGTGCTGGGAACTGGACCACCCAATTCATGATAATGGTATTTGGAGGTGGGGTCTTTAATTAGGATTGGTAGTGTCATGACAGTGAGGGCTCTATTCCGCCACTGGTGTCTTCATAAGAAGTGCGAGACCTGAGATGGCACAGCTGCCCCATGACGCAGGGAAGAACCTCACTGCCTGCCCTGCAGATACCAGCATCATACCATGCTTTTGGACTTCCAGCTTCCAGAACCGCAAGCCAAATAAACTTCTATTCTTTATAAAGTACCCAGTCTCAGCTATTGTCCTTAGGAGTTTAGGCCGCAGCGTTTCCCAAAGTCCACACGAGGAAGAGGAAATAAGAGAAGAATCATGTGCAGAATCCCAGGCCCATCAGGGGTGCGGGCCACAGCAGGAACTGGCAGCTTACACTCTGGGATGGGTAACAAGATCTCTGTGGTGGGTGGGTCCGGCATTCCAAATTTCTCAGCGAGAACTCCGTGTGTGTTAACGTCCCCTCCTTAAACTTAGCCCGATTCTATGGCTCTGGGTGAAGCTCAGGTGAGCTGTGAGACAGGGTAAGGAGGGACGAAGGAACAGAGGACCCTCCCTTCCTGGAAGAGAGAAAAATGTCTTGTTGGAAAAGCAAGCAACCCCTCCAAAGAAGTTTAACTCAATTTTGTGAGCTCTGGAATAGAAGTCACGGTTCTGGTTAGTCTCTGACAGGGCAAATATCAAGATGTTTCACCCAAGCAGGAAAGGAAAACAAAGATGCACTATGGGCACTCTGGCAAAATCTCACTGGTCAGGACTTCAAAGCCACTCTTTTTTGAGGGCTCCAAGCTATCTGTGTCATTCACCAAGCTTCGGTTAAACTGCACCTTCAAATGTGGCCTTTAACTCCCTACACCAAAGCTCTTTTAGTTGCTGATATGAGGGGTTTGAATAAGTTCCCGTGGGTGAAGAAGGACGGAAAAGAGGTAAGTGGTATGTTTATGTGTAAAAAATTAGCTTAAAAATCACTGTTCCTTGCGCACGGATGCCACACCACTTCTGTTGTTAGGTTAAGGGTTCATATATAGAGCCACGACCGTCTGAAGACTAGCGTGCATGATTAAAGCTAATAATTTAATTTGAAAACTTCCTTCCCTCTCTTCTTCCCTCCCATCTTTCTCTCCTTCCCTCCCTCCCTCCTTCCTTCTTTTCCTGTGCTGGGGATTGAACCAGAACCTCATGCATACTAAGCATACACTGTACAACTAAGCTGCACGCCAGCCCTAGCAAATATAACCTGAATGAGTTACAAACATAACCTGAATAGGACAATTTCTTGGAATTTTTATTTATAATTGCAATTAAAAGCAAACACAAAATGACAATTTAAATCTAACATTTCTGAATGGCAAATTAGTGAATACCTTGGACTCTTACTTTTGAATGAACTCAACACATGTTCTTGAAAAAAAAATTACATTGAAAACCCAAACCAAGTTCCCCCTGTGCCTGGGTTGATGTAAGGCCTGTGTCTGCAGCTGACTTTGCTCATCCCGGGCAACAGAGAAGAGCCAACCCAAATCCCTCCTGATTACATGTTGGGCCTGGGGGTGAACATGATGTACGTTAGCTTGTTAGCTTAATTTTCATGACCCCATCAGAGAGACATTGTAATCGCCATTTCAGAACAGGTGAAGAAAGTTAAGATTGAGCGGTAAAGCAACTGGCCTCAGGTCAGTGCAGGTCGCAGCCCGGATCGATCAGGTTCCAGGGCCTACAGGCTCCTGTGCTAGTGCTGTGACAATCCATGTCACATCCAGGTTTCTGACCCTGCACAGATCCTGTAGAGACACTGGCCTTGTCCCCTAGGAGGGGAACTGAGGGGAAGTCAGGGCAGAGGTGATTTTGGTCTGTGTTTATCCTCTCAGGCCTCGCCCCTGGGTCCTCCCCCATCAGCACCTCATCCATTAGCACTTTGCCCATTAGCACCTCAAATCGCCCCTCCTGGAGGTGAAAGCTTGTCTTCCAGTTGAAGATAATTCCTTAGATTTCTCTGCTAAGGAAACTAAAAAGAATCTTTCAGTTTTGACTCACTTGCTTTTTTTTTTTCTGTTTCTAATTCACTGAAATGAGAGAGACTTAGATATCAGAAGCATAAAAATGTCTCTGCACCGAAGCCCCTGTGCATGCAGAGACAGAGAGCGAAGAACCCCAGACTCAGAAGCAAGTGGGTGATGGCGGGGCCCCCACCCACCTCCCAGGAGAGACCCGAGAAGCAGGGGAACTTACGCAGGAGATACTCAGCTGTGTCCTGTTCATAATCTGCATCTTCAGGGAAGTGATCGATTTTCTTGCACACACCTCGGAAGGCCCCTGTGGAGACAAATTCGGTGCTGAGCCAAGGGGAGAAGGCAGGGCCCTGGGGTCCTCAAACTCAGCATCTATTGGATGGTGAAGATCCTTGCCCTGGTTATTGGCAGCTGTGCAATAGTAGACCCAAGAGCATCTTCATTTAAGGCACAGATAAAAGAGCATTTGCTATAGTTTAAATCTTGAATGTCCTCCAAGGGCCTGTGTGTCCCCAGCTTACGGTGCTAGTGGGAGCCTTTAGGAGGTGGGGCCTAGCAGAAGGTAGCTAGGTCACTGGGGGCATGTCCTCACAGGGGATTTAGGAACCCTGGGGCCTTCCTCTCTTTTTGTTTCCCAGTCTCCAGGAAGTGAGTGGCTTTGCTCCACCATGCTGTGCCTGCCGGGATGTTCTCTTCCACACTGGCACCAAAAAGGGGCCGGGGGACCATGCAGCGAAACCTCTTAAGTGATAGCCTAAAGAAACACCGCTCCCCCAACCAGTGAAGGGGAAAAGGAGGTAGAATTTGAGTACATTAATTTGTATTCCCATTTTATGGATGAAGAAATTTGGCCTAAAAATTTTGCCTCGAATCACTCAGGTAAGTAGCAGAACCAGGATTCCAGTCAAGATCTGGGGATTCTGGAATAGACCAGAGGCTCCAGGGACGCTCATATCTGACCCCAGAACTCTCCCCTTTCCTCTCTGTCCCTTGCTGCACGGCTCAGGCCTGCAGGAGCCACACACGCTAAGGATGCATGTGAAAGAAACTGTCAGGGCTTTCTGGTCTTCAGCATAAACTTGGCTTAACTCATTGTGTGTGTTTGATAATCATCCTGGGTACTTTTTAACAAGCCAATGAACCGATCTCGGGGTAGTTAATGGCTTTGTCAGTTCTTGTAAATGACGGACAGTGTTCAGAATATCTTGCCACAACACAGTGCGAAATTATGGATTCTTGTCCATGTGGGGTGAGGGGCAGTGTCATGCTGTGAGCACAAAGCAGAGGAGGTAGAGAACCAGACAGAGCTGGGCTTTTATTTTGGAGCAGTCATTGTAAGACTGCAAAAAGGCTGTATGTGAACCTAAGATAATTTCTGGAAAGCTGCAGCTGTACCAGAAAAATAACTGCCACTTATTAAGTGCTTCCAATAGGCCAGGTCCAGAGATAAAGCCTTACATCCCCTATCTCATTTGCTCTTACCCACCAGCCCAGGAAGAAGGTGCTATTAATATTGACATTTTGGTGAGGAAACGAAAAACACAAGTGATTAAGGTGCCAGAGTTGCTAAGTGATAGAATCAATATTTGAGTCCAGGCTCCAAAGCCTGTGGTTACACTATTGCTGTATGAATAGCTATTATTATTATATCTACTATCATTATGACTATTATTATCTAATAATGATGAGTATGATTTGTTTAATCCTTACCATAAAAAGGGTCCAAGCCAGGACATTTCACAGTAATCGTGATGGAATATGTAGGACATTTCTTTGGTTCTGAGTCTGTGTACACAGGCAAAGAATAGACTCCAAACCAACAAAAGAATCCAGACAAGAACACGCAAGGAAATTCTTAGAAGAAAGACAAAGTCGTAACATCTCCTCTCATATTGATAAAAGGTCTTCATTTTTCTTGTTAGGATTTCAAAGTTTCAATTACATATTTCTGTTTGATTTTAAGCCTTCCAGTTGACTGGATAATAAATCATAACAAGTAACACATTATGCATTTATTATATACCATCTGAGCATGTTAATGTTTTATTTTCTTTAGTTCTCAAAATACCTGATATTATGATGCCTGTTTTATAGACGATAAAATTTTTTTTTTTCTTTTTTTTTGGTACTGGGGATCGAACTTGGGACCTTGTGCTTGCGAGGCAGGCACTGGAACCACTGAGCTAAATCCCCAGCCCTAGATGAGAAAATTGAGGCTTAGCAAAATAGAAGATTTACCCAAAGCCTTAGTTAGGAAATAGTTCACTCAAGCGTAGGTTTGGCTGACCCCCGAGGCAAGCTCCTAAGCACTATTATGACCTGTGCTCTCTTCAGTTCTTTAGAGTTGTAAGCAAAATCCTTCACCAGATGGTTTAATGATAGCTTTGTGGTCCATTCCCTGCTATTGGTTCTGGCAATGAACTGGACCAGTGGTTTCCCCATCAACCATGCTTCTTCCACAGTGGGCAGGGCAAGGATATTGATAGTGGCATCGCTTCACTATTAGCTACTTTACGTAAACCAGGAAACATTTCATCGGGAGGACAGGGTCAGGCACAAATCATCCTAAGACCAGTCAGAATCACTGGGGGAATTAGGAACTATGCACGTGCCAGCATCTGCATGTGAAATGGGCTCTCACAGGGGGACTGAAAGCATCTGGAAATAAAGACTTAGAACCAATAACCACCAGTAGCTCCTGAAGACAGGTACCAGTTTTTAATGGTCTGTTACCTACCTCCTATTTGTGTTCAGACCATAAGCTAAGAATGGTATTTGCACAGTTAGATGACTGGGGAAAAAATCAGAAGAATGTTATCTTATGTAAAAAATGTGAAATTCAGATTCTGGCCTCTGTAAATAAAGTTTTATTGAAATACAACCATGCCCATTTGTTTATATAGTTTCAATGGAATCTCTCAGGCTGCTATGGCAGAGTTGAATATGACAGAGACAATAAAGCTGAAAATATTCTCTCTGGCCCTTTAAGGAAAAAAATGTGAGGAACCCTGGTCTAAAGATTTCTGTCCTATGGAGGCAAAAGCATAAAGTAAAGAGTCCGGGGGTTCCTGAGGTGGAGGACACAATCTAGACTGTTGCCTCTACAGCAGAGTGGCAGGCTTCTGCGAATCTGGGAGGTAAACTGTCTTTGCTTTGTGATTTTGTTTGCTTATTTGCTCTAATTGCTGTATTTTATTGCATAATTTTTAAAAAAAAATTAAATATGTCGCTGTGATTTAGAACTCAGGGCATTTCACATGAAACGCTGATTTGCAGTTTCTCTTAGAACATGAAGAGCCGTGTCTCCCATTTCCACGTGACAGCAACTCCTTGTAGCTGAGCATTAGCGAGCCTCTTGGGTATGGCACAAGTTCTCTAGTTAGCCAAATTCCCAGTTGACCCTTAGGACATTCGTCTGTCCCTGTAGACATTTGAGTTTGTGACCTCTGAGCTAACACATATTTGGGAAAAACCCAGTTTTGGGGGTCACACTTCAGATCAGTCCTGACTCAGCTACTTACTGGTTGTGGTACCTAGATCAAATTGCCTCTTCCAGCCTCAGTTTCTTCTTCTACCAGAGGAAAGTAATCATAGTAACCTCATGGAGTTGTCAAGAGAATCAATCGAGACAGTAATCGTAGTTCCAGTGACAGTCACTGTTCTCAGCACTTTACACATAAATCTTTTAATCAGGCAGTGACATGAAGCACTTAGTACAGCTCCTGGCACATAGTAAGAGCTCAATAAATTAAAGCTATTACTACTGTTGGTTTTGGTAGGTATTTTAGGACCAGAAGAGACACATTGGCGACATGGTGAGATTTTAAAAAGCAATAAAAAAAAGAAAGGAAGTCAAGAATTTCCCTCAAGGAAGACACACTGAAAATGAGGCCCTGGCACCTCAAGTCACACACCAATCATGAAATGAACTTGGCCATTCGTATCAGTAGCATATTGTTGGCTCCCAGAATAACCACTCGTTAGCATTTTTTTATATTTCCTCCCAGGCTTTCCTCCCTATGCTTTCACACAAAAATGATTTAGCAAGATTGGATCATGCTGTTCTTCTCACTTACATTTCCTTAAGAGTATTTCCCTAAGTCAGTAAATCTAAGAAAATAGAACGCGGTGGGACTTGTCCAAAACTGCAAAGGATGGAACCACGAGAGATGCTGAGAATATCTAAACTGCAAGGATTGTCAGGAAACAGAGGAAAACCCGGCCTCAGCACAGCTATAAGCAAAAGCCCTAGGGCAGAGAGAAGCAGAAATCAGGAGAGAATGAAACAAACCAGGAAAAGGATTGAGGGAGCAGAGTCTGGGGACAGATCCAGTGGCTACAGGGGACAGGTGGTGGGGACCCAGCAGAGGGCAGGGGTGAGAACTGAGCAGTGAGAACCCTAAGTTCACAGCACCTGGGGAAGAGCTTTGAAATGGAAGATGCAACCAGCAGAGAGCTGCTGAGCTGCTGAGGTGTGACAGCAGGGACTGGCTTTGTGGTGACTGTGGCTTCATCCTGGGTCATCGCTGGCTCAGGCAATGAAAGAACACTTCCTTCACAGGCAGAAAGGTGTGCTCTTTAACACCCCTTGAAAGTCAAACCCTTGGAATATTCCTATTAAAATCGAGAGTGAGATAATGCCCATCAATCCGCTAATATTTAGTGCAGATCTACAAGATCGAGTTAGCACACGAATTCAATTATAAGCAATAGAAAAAATGAAATAAAAGTACCATTTTTTCCTAGATGATAGAATTAGTCTATTTGGGAAAATGAAAGCAATTTGTTAGAAAAGATATTAGAATGAATGAAAGGGCTCAGGCAGGTGGTTACTTACAGTATATTAAGTTACACAACAAAGCTGTAATAATTAAGTCATTGTAGTACTCCCATTTAAGAATAACATTTATTTTTTCAATGCAGGGAACTGTAAAGAAAACAATAAGCAGTCCATTATCTCATATTCAGATAATCCTAGCTAAATTGAAAGAATATATGTACGTGGTTAGAAAATTCAAACAGTCTAGGAAGGACTTAAAGTGAGAACAACCGCCACCACCAAAAATGTTCTCGCCTAACTCAGTAGAATGATTTTTGTTACCTGAATGTTGAGCGAAATCACAGCTAAGCGGAGACTTGAAGGTTAATTAGAAGTTAAGCAGAGGAGGAAAGGTGTGTCTCTCTAGGCAGAGGGATTCGCGTGTGTGATGGGAGAGAATGAGCAAGAGAGGAACTCTCTTGGGAGCTCCAAGTAGCTCGAGGTGCTGGAGATCAGAGACCAGTCTTCGGACAGACCCAGCGAGT